TATTACACGACGACGATGAACGTCTTGCGCGCGTTACGCGCGTTGCGGTAATCCGGAACATTTAATTCCATTTTGGAAAGCAAGCGTGTCTCAACCTCGCGCGACCATAGAATCGAGGAATTATTCATCGCGGGGTTATAAATTACAGCTGACGTTTGTTGACGTCGTCGCGTCAGCCGGTCTGAGGACTTACTTTCTTCTCTCTGTTGGGACGTACAATAATTTGTTCTCGGTCGTTGTCCTCCGCGTCGCCGCTTCTTTTAGCGGCGACTTCCTTCTCGTTTAGCTTGCCATCTGCTATCTTCAAACAAGCGAGAATTTCGGTAGTATATATTTTAATTAAATGTCAAAAAAAATTTTAATCTTCTAATCAAGCGCCGTAAATGCGCCTACCGCGTGTGTGCGGAAAGATGCTCTTGCACGTATCTCACACAACAAACGTTTCTTCCGTAATATAGATGCGGAAAATATTATTTACAGTCACATATACATACGGTGGGAAAATAATAATGTAATAACGACGAAACGTTATAAAATGTAATAAAATATAATAAAATGTAATAAATATATTTCAAATAACGCGTTTGCCGAGACTGTGTTGCTCTGCGTTTTTTTATTAACGTTCAAAATATTTTATTATCAGTGTCGCTTTTTAAAAATTTCTAAAAATTATACGGCGTTGCGGTACGTAAAATTATTGAAAAATATTTTAAATCGCGCGAAGTATTTCAAAAATATCAACATTTTGTATACATGGAAATAACATAAGAGTACTGTGCAAAATGCGCTTCGACGAGATTATCGGAGCGCCGCAATAAAAAACGACTGCGTCAGATCGCTAAGAAAGCAATCAACGAGAATCCCGTGGGTACTTGTGTTGATCACTTTTTTTTCTTTTTTTTAATATTCTACAGCAACGTGGCGCATAAAGCATTTTCGCGCAGTTATATGAGAATTTATGATACTTCGTAACGATGTCAGCAATGGGAAACAAATCAGCGAGGAGGTGTAATTTCGCGGATCGAATAGCGTGCCTTAACGTAGAATTAGTATCGCAGCTTCGAGGCTATTATTCCCTTCTCGCGGCGGCGTCGGCCCGACCATATTGAATCCAACGACGTCGGTAGCGCGAAATCACATGTAATTTCTTCTCGCGCGAACAGAGAATATATACACTCGTGCAAAACGAATTTCGCGAAAACGTCTTCTTTGTGTTCCTCGTTCTTCGCGGTCTCGTTCTAAATAATTTAATCACCGACTTGTCCAGCGTATTCATTCATTCTCATTGTGCAGCACACTCCTGGAGATAAATTGCACGGTAGCTTAATAGCCAAATGCGACAAAAAAACGAGAGAAGTTTGCGGTATGCATTTTGCAAGTTCAATTTATATAGAAAGAGCGTAAAAACTCATTTATTGCGACCGCGCGAATAAAGATGTTTACTATCTCTGGTAACGTCATAAAAATTCAATGGCTCTGCAGTGACTAATAGTAAAGGATTGTAAGCAGAGAGCAAGCGTCTTCGTATGTAACAGCCGCAATAACTACGCGCGCGCGCGCGAAACCGTGGTTCTTCTTTTTCTCTTGTTTTTTTTTTTTTTTTTTTTTTTTTTTTGTAGTGCAATCTTGTGTCTCGCTGTCGAAACACAAGATTGCACTAAAAAAAAGAAAAAAAAAACGAAAAAGAAAAAAATATGCATATTGACAAATATCCTCCGGGAGAAAAGTTTGGATTGGTAGCTTTAAAAGGCTTTTAAATATATTCCCATCGACATGAGAAACATTTCCGAAAAATACACGGAAAATCTATCGTAAACAGTGTGACGGCACATCGATAAAAAAAATGTTATACGGGGGTTGAATATTCAGATTTTTTTTTTTTTTTATTTACACAGTAGAATTTTCTCTCTCCTTCGACGCGGGCAGAAAGATGGTGCATCGTTCTATTTGCTCGTGTGTTTCAGAAAATGGGACACAAAAGAAAGGAATTGAAATTAACGGATTAAAAATCTTTTTTGTCTTTTCTCTCTCTCTCTCTCTCTCTCTCTCTCTCTCTCTCTCTCTTGTACACAATAGTTAGGTTTTTTTTCGCAGAATAAATTCTAGAAAATTATGTATTTACACTTTACCTTTCGACGCGACTTATAGAAGAAACAAACTGAGATTTTTTTCCCGCTCGCTTGTTGATAGTGGCAAAACGGTACAAGTAATACAATATTGCATCTATTGCGTTGTGCTCGCTCGCGATGCGGCAAACAATCGAACGCGGGGGGGAACTAATAAGAGAATAATGATCACCGCGTGAAACTTATTACGACCGTTAGCCAATCTGAAATCCTCACTGTGTGTAAGGAGAAGGAGGCGAAATGTCACCGACGAACGCGGAGGGACATCCATTATGCTTGAAGAAGATGGGATTTCGCGGATAACATCAAGCTGAAAGAGGGAGGAATAAAAAAAAAAGCCATCTCGTACCTACCAGTGTTCGTCGAGTCGCGGAAAATAGGACGCCCTTTCGTGATATTACCGATCGCGCCGACGAAAGTTCATCGCCGTCACATCGATCTTCGCGGCGATCCGTCGACGGGTGACCAAAGAATCTTGATCGACCAAAGGGAGAGACGGAAACACATCTCCTCGGGACTTTATGCGATGTGCATATCGGTAAACCACCGGCGGTGGTTTTCTCTCTCCAGTTCTACGTCTACGTTCGAAGTTTAGAAACGAGTTTAATCTTCTTTTGAACTTCATTGCGCGCACGCGGAGAGAAGAACCCGCGAGTCGACACAAACTTACTATCGGAAAGATTGCGCGCGGCACCACGTTTTTCCGCAACGTGTGGGAGAATTTGTAAGAAAACGCGCGCGCGGTTTCTGAAATTCATTGAAAGAAAAAAAACTGTGTGTGTCTCGCAATTCTTCTCGTCCGTGACGAGTATTTTTCAAATATAATCCATACCTTGCGAATTAATTAAAAAAATATTTCAGACTTCTTGCGTGTGTATGTGTATATATGTGTGTGTGTGTATTTCATTTCAAAACAAAGGAATAAGTTGGGAATCTTGGGAACGTTCTCTCTTTGACTTTATTGTTTTTTTTTGCGCGTTTAATATCTTTGAAAACACACGCGAAAGTTTTATTTTTAATGAGTAATGACGGATCTTCGCTTACATTTTTATACGAGATTATAACGACATGTACAAAACGACTAGTGTAATTTTTCTAAATATATAGCACAAGATTCGTGGTTTTTCTCACGATGTTCTTATTGAATTAATTAATTAAAATTAGTAAAATAACTTATTTATTTTTCATTTAACTCAAGGGTGCGGGTATTCGTTTGCTTTTCTTTACTGTCGGTTTTTCCGAAATAAACACGTGGCGAGCTAAACCACCCCCGACGAGATAAACGAGCTCGGAGCTAAATTACTCTCGAAAAAATATCGCTTGCTCGGAGAACAATATAAAAAAAAAAAACGTTACGTCGTCGGTGCCTTAATCCGGCAACGAGACTGCTCGGATCCTTATCGATGGCTCTTTCCGAGCTTCTCTCCGCAACGAGCGGACACAGAACGGGCGCGCGTCGCTCGAACAATGGAAAGACAAGAGAGAAGCCACGTAACGTGTCGAGGCGCGAGAAACGCGTCCTTCCGGCATTTTAATATTCTTCTCTCGGTGTTGCACGCGTGTTTCCGCGTGCCTGTGCCTTCGGCACACAATGCAACACCCCGCCGTGATAGAGCGGTGGGACACGAAGAAAAGAGTGTGGCAATTAAGCGACACGCGCTTCCCACGCCCCGGGACATTGGCCCGTACACACGCTGCGAAACTGACACCTTTAACTTATCGCGAACACATCCATCCCCCTCACTCGTCGAACAATGTGCTTCTTCTCTATATTTGTCGTGCCAATTCGGAATATTATTCGCGACGCCGATAAATTTTATTTTTTAACTTCGATTAGCTCCTTCCTCTAAGTAAAATATTATTAAAAATCTATATCATATCTAAAGAATAATAATAATAACAAAATCTATTATTAAAAATTACAAATAACATTGTTTTGACAACAATTATTGTTTTCATTTTTAATTATTTTAATTATAAAATGTGCTTCAAAAAATTATCTCTCTCCTTGACATATTTTTATCATTGCAATCTTATTGCAATTAAAATAACTTTTTTTCTTTTAATCTAAAATAAAAATACACACGATTGTAATAAAAATAATAATACACGCTACGTTATTTTTATCAAATATATCAATTTTGTCAAATATCGTCGTTAAGTAAGCATAATTTTTGCTCACGTAATATAAAATAATGAGATTAATAAGCATCAAGAGTTACCTCACTCGCCGAGATATCTTGTAATGCGGTCTTGTCTCGGCAACGATAATCACGGTATATCGCTTTGAAACAATGAAATAATACCGCAACAAAAGAAATAGATAGGCGTTGAAGATAGATTTCGGCACATTCGATGGCAAAATGAGAAAAGATGTTGTTTGCACAAACTACCACCGTTTAAGAACATCGTTACTCAACGATTTTGTTAAGAAAGTTTACGGGTTTTGGTAAAACGTGAAATCAATGTATAAATTATACCGCTTGCTTTTACAGCCTTGCCAAAGCGTTAAAAAATATTTAGCGTAAAATACAATTTTTTACGTGTTTTAAAGTAGAGAACCATTTTGTTCCAAATCTTTTTCCCCTTCTCTCTCGTTTTTCTCGTTATTTAATGGCACCCTGTTAAAAAATATATATATATATATGTACGCACATATGTATACACAGGAATGAAAGAGAGAAATTAGTTGTGGTAAAATACAATTTTTTATTTTCAATTCTGATTAATCTCGCTTGCTGTTTCTCTCAGTCACTTTTAATTTACAATAAAAAAGTGTCTTTACATCCAAGCTCTTACAAAAAAAGTACTTTGTACTTTGAAATTTATCTATGTGAATAATTGAAAATGCTAATACATTATAATGTCGCTAATTAAAGACATTCATCACAAAAATTGTGATGAGAAAATCGGTTTGGGATCTTTCTCGACAATACCCAAGACGTATCTTCTGTACTGATGGAATAAGATACGTTTAATTCTATTCAATTTCTTCTGTTTTATCTCATGCATACGAGACGCTTCAATTTTGGATAACGCGTCTTTCTCTTCCGCGAACATCAGATCTGTGAAGTAGCAACCGGTATTCGCTCCGTAAAACGAGAACGTTCGCAATTCATCGTTCAGCCACTCCAAACTGAGCTCCGTCAATATTTCCTCGCTCACCTGTAATCGGCCGAGCTCTCCGACAAACTCATCGTGATAGATCTTGATAAGACTCTCGTAGCTCTCTTCGATCAGCGATATTGGCACGCTTGTGTATATAAAATAAAGCACGTCGGTGGCCGCCGAATGGTGACGGGATATCTGATAATCCAGCATCTTCAGATCGATTATCTCGCCCTCGTCGTTGTGCAAGAAGAGCAGATTGTTGATCCACGGATCACCGTGGCAGATTGTGTGATACTTGTGATTCGGAGCGTTGAATATTTCATGCATTTTATCGTAAGCGTTGACGTTGATCTTAAGGTGCTCTGTGACATCTTCCAGTTCCTGAGTTCGCGGCAGGATAGTTTCCATGTAACCGATTGTTGTTTCCAAAGCTTTTTGGGTGTATATTCTCATCTTTGAACTGGGCGAATCATCTATATAGATCACTTCCTTCAAAGCAGACGTCCATTCGTTGAAGAGCTGTGTATTCTGAATTTTTACCGCCAAAGCCGACGCGTGAAATTTGGCAAGTGTCTGAGAAAAACAATAACAAATATACGCTTCGGTGTTTTGCAACAACTCTGTATAAATAAATTAATTTAATAAAAAATAATTGAAAAATAATTAATGTAAAAGTAATTTTATTTTTAATTTAAGTAACTATTTTTAAAAAAATAGTTACATTAATTAACTATTAACAAGAAATTCTGAATTAACTATTAACAAGGAATATGTGTGAAAGTTTAAAATACTAAAATAGAAAGAAGACGATATACGAGTTTAAATAAGCGTACATATTTTTTAATGTTACAACATTAGCGACTATAAACGTTTCGATCCTCGGATGGGATCCTCATTAATGAAATCGCTGAGATACGACAAATCAAAATTAGGATGTCACCGGCATTATCGTTGTTAAGATAATATAACATTCACTATGACTCATACATTTCACTCTACAAAATATTTGACCAAAACGGTTAAATAATCTACGATGACTTCCGCCGCACTTTGTGCTTGAAACTTGCTTTTGACATGACATCTTAATTTTGATTTGTTGTATCTCAGCATTGATTCCACTGTCTCTAATGAAGATCCGATCCGAAAGTCGATCCGTTTTGCCGCCAATGTTGTAACATTAAAAAATAAATACAAATACGTTTACACTTGTATATGAGCTCTTTTTTATTTATTTTTAACTATTTAACCGTTAAATTAATTTTAACCCTACTAATGTACATTTACTAATTAACTATTTTTAAAAACGGTTAATTAATTTAGAAATAATTAATTAACTCAGCGCTTTGTGTAAAAACCCACCTTTAAAACGTAAACGGTGTGTTTCAAGTCTAGAAAATTGCGCCTTTCGCAGAGAACGTATTTTTTTTGCGCCAGGTCTTCCATTATTATATTCTTTTCGTCAGCGTGTACGCAGTCGGGAGCGAAACTTTTAAGAACAGACAGTATTTTCTGATAAACCCGCTGCTCCTGACAGAAGAAAAGGTTGAGATCCACCTTTTCAGTGATCGCGGGCTCATCGATAAACTTTTTCCATATAAGTGTTTTGTTATACGCTGTTAACACACATGTGCGAAAAAAAAAAAATAGTTCGAAATAGTCCTCATAATTCTTACGACACGCATTTATCGCGTGTTTGCATGCAACGATCTTTTGCATATCGCTCACGTCACACAAACAAGAGCGACGCTATTATGCTCGTTTCATAATAAAAATTTTTCTAATTTCAACTATGAAAAAAAAAATAAATCAATCGCGACAGTCGAGACTAAAATTCAACGTTAAAAATAGTATTTGAAAAAAAACTCATTTACGCAAAAAAAAAAACGATACTAACGACTTCCGTTTCCTTGTTTGCCGATAAGTTTTATTCTGATCAATTTCGACATGTAATTGTCACCGAATTTCGACCCATTCATGGTTTCAATCTTCTCGATCACTAATTCGTCATCTTTATCGTACTTTCTCAAATATTCCTGAAATTTTTTTGCCGTATCTTCGTCCGCCATATGTTTTTCGTCTTCGTCATTTTTTGAAATTTCGTTTTTCGCCGAATCTTTGTCTATTGTGTCTGAAAATTAAACGTGTATTCAAATTTTATCCGTGTCTCTTTTACCCTGGAACAGCTGATGTCACGATTTTGACGACGTCAGTCGACAGACGATGAATTACAATAAATCAAATGACGAACTTTTTGAATGAAAAAACTTGTAGAAAAACGTGTGCGAGACCTTCCTTAAGTTTTTTATTTTCCAACGTTTCATTATCTGGGTTTATTTTTTTGTTTAGTCGATAAAATGTAATTTTGTTGACGTAGCATAGTACGATCGTCTGAGATATTCGAATATCGCTGACTTACTAAAATAACAAGGCGTTGTCCGTATAGCTTTTTGTTTTCTGTTGTAAACGCTACACAACGAAAACCGAAAAGATAAAAATAATATTTATTTGTTGCAGAAATTTTTGCAACAAACGTTTATTTTAGTTATCGCGTCGTCGCAACGCCAGTAATTACTAATTACTAAGCAATGAAAGACTTTACTCTCGAAACTTTTTGAATATTTATAATTGTATAAGCGTAAAAAAGAAATATACGATAATAAAAAAATAAGATCTGTTGCGATATCATGATAAAAGTTGCAACATTATTTAAAATTAAAAAAAAAAAAAAAAAAAACAGGAAAACGATCTTCAACTTCTTCACAATCATATTCCGTAAAATAAATACAATAACTTTTCACATTTGTTTATAATCGATACAAACGCGTGTTGGTTTTGTTTTCTCATTTGTGAATTAAGTTCTTTCGAGTATTGTTTGTCGTCGCGATCTGATCGTCGAGTATTTTGTCCAAAATATTAACATATTGTGACCAAATTATTCTTAATTATATTGCAAATAGTTTATTTTTTTATTTTAACTAAATACAAATCACGTTTATCTTAACCTCTTTGGCGCGGCGCACGTGTTTTGCGTACCGTCACTTAATCGGTCTGTATAGCCGCGTAGCTAGATTCAGCGTCCTGTGTTGTAATTGAGTGACCAAAGTCGACGCTTGGCCGTATATAGGTACGTTCAAATTATACATACGTGTTTCGGAGATGTTACACTTGATCGTCATCGATGCCATGGTTGTGTATATCACAATCACGTATAATCACAATATTACTCTCTACCCTACCTTTGCGGTACAACGCGCTGTAGTGACTACGGTGTGTTGTACTCAGCCTGTGAAACATAATCGCACAGACGACACACACACAGTTCTTACAGAAGACGAATCAACGCGCGGTAAAACCCATACTAGGTCTACAGATAATTATTTCGACCAATTACTTCGTTCGTTCGTACGAAGCTACAACGACATTGGCAGTTCACTGAAAGATAAAACGTTTTTCCCCAAAAATCTTTTTCTATTTCCAAACGAAATTCCATGTAGATTAGTCGGCTCAAAAATGGTTTCCGGTCGTAATCTTCTATCGACAAAAGGAAGACACCATATCTCAAAATCTCTTTTGTAACCGAAAACCATGACACGTGACGTGAAATAGCATTTTGTAATAATCAAGGTAGAAACTTACTTTGATTATTATGCAGGAATGCGTGCACTTACCTTTGTAAAATTCAGTCTTCACAGATCTTTGTTGATGTAAAAAAGAAAAGAATATGCATAACGTACACGAAAAATCGTAAAAATAAAAATATTAACGATCGCAAAATGAGAAAATGTTGTAAGGAAGAGAAAAGTGGAATGGGAAAAAATAAGGAGTCGTATTTTTTTTTTTTTTTTTTTATAATACACGCATCTGTAATAATACTCGTGTTCACATACAGGACAACCTTTATTACTTAATGCTGGCTCTAGTCACAATATAGTACTACGTATTATTACAATATTAATAATATATATATATATATATATATATATATATCATAGTCATAATAGGTCATAATTTTTAATATATATGTATATTTTTATATATGTATATTTGTAATATATTAATATACTTAACTCTATACCTTGTTGTTACATAATACACGATTCCTCTCTCTCTCTCTTATCCTATCACTTAGCGTAATATAGATATAATGTATATAAGATATACATATATACATATATGTGTGTGTATATGTATATATATATATGTATACGCGTCATCAGGATGGTATAAATAATATTGTATTTCATAAAAGCACTTCATGTTGCTTATAATATTATCGTTTTCATATTGTTTCTCTACCTCTGGTAATGCCTCTCTTTCTTAATTCATTCTTCCTTTCTCTCTTTATCTTGTTTTCTCACTTGCATTCTTTTTTTGGTTTTTTTTTTTTTTTTTTTTAATTTTATTCTCTCATTTCCATACACATTTTCACCTTTCTCTATCTCTTTCTCACATTCTCTCTTTCTCTCGTTCTCATGCACTCTCCCTTTCTCTCAAGGACGTCTAAAAAAAGTTTTTTTTTTACTGCCTACAAACTCTGCATTTATACTATCATTCGAGTATCATTTGACTGTCTTACAAGTCCCACCGTACTTTCTCCCCCCTCCCTCCTTAGCCGATGGCCGACGTTTTCTATTTTGGCCTGTATAATTTTTTCCTCCATTACTTACATAGTTTTCGATTTTGCATTCTTTTTCTTTCCCTTTTTTTTTTTTTTTTTTTTGGAGTTTTCTTGCAATTTAAATTATGAAAATTTGCCCCGCGGTTTTACGATATTTTATGTTCCTGCTGCCTGGTCCACTAACATTCCTAGAAAAAATACTCTTCGTCCCCATTTATCACCTATTATTCGAAAAACGTACTACTTATACGAACGGATATTCAAATCCATCGAGTGCTCTCACTTTTCTGTGGAGTATTTTCTATACAAAACTTTTTTTTTTAAGGTTTCTTTTTTCTATTTCAAGAACACAAAAATCTGGAGAAGAGGCACGCACGAACAAAGAATAGAAAAGAAGAAATACGAAGTTCTCGAATTCTTCGTCGTTTTCTGCGGAGCATTTTCCATACAAAATTTTTTTCTTTTTTAAGGTTTCTTTTTTCTATTTCAAGAACACAAAAAATCCGGAGAAGAGGCACGCACGAACAAAGAATAGAAAAGAAGAAATACGAAGGTCTCGAATTCCTCGTCGTTTTTAGTATTGCGCTCCCCAATTCAAGAATAGAGTAAAACGCAAACATATTTGAGAGAAATATACAAAATGTTGTTTAAAATATGAAAAATATAATGTAGATAGGATATAAAAAAGCGTATGTGATGTAACTTATCTATTTTATATTTTTTATCTATTTGAAAAGAAAATTATTACTTTATTTATTAACACTCTTGTATAAAAAACACAACACAATAGTGTATCACATACGTGAACTATTTTTTTTTTTTATATTTATTTCAAAATTCAAGATTAAAATTCTATTTTTATTTCAAAATTCGAGATTAAAATTCTTTTGATATATCGATAACGCGCTCGATTTAATTAACAAGAGAGCACTCGTTTCACATATCAGTACGTATTTGTGTTATCTCATTAAGTTTTTTTTTTTTTTCGGATATCGTATAACTAGATTGCACCACAACAACAATACAAAATATTATTCGCCTACAATACACCGACGTCCAAGTGCGTGCAAAGGATCAAGTCTATTGTATCTCGTAGAACTCTATATATCTCTAAGTGGTACGATGCGCACACGGAGCAAGACTTTTTACGTTGAAACACAGTGTATGTGTGTCCCATCGTGATGTGACAAAGAGAAAACGGAAAAAGTAAAGAAACTGCGAGAACTTTCAAGACGAATGCGAGTCGCTTGAATCTTGAAGAAAAACAAACGCCATGCATTTCTTTTTACTCGACGTACGTATAGAATAGTAGAACAAATATATGGAGAAGAAAAATTAAATTTTTCTTATTTATTCCGTTCTTGTTTGTTTTATTTTTTATTTTTTATTTTTTTTATTCGACGCTAAAATTCGTTATCGCACGGTGGTAATTCGCGTTTGTGTGGTCACGTACTTTTTTTCTGTACGCGACCGTCGCATAATCGACTGCTTCCGTTGATATGTCACAGGAGAAAACTCGACGGAAAAATGTAAGACACGCGGATTGGAGGATTTGAATTTTTTTTTTTTTAAATGCGTCAAAGGAGTTGCAAGATTGCAAAGAATACATTCAGGAATGAATTTCGGTATATTAATTATCCCCTTTGGTTTTTTCTGTTTTTGCTTTTAGCATCGCGACCGCCTTCCTCCGACCGCAAAAAAAGTAAAAGCAAAGCGTTACTTTAATAGCGCAGTTCTTCAGATTTCGAGAGAGACACGACGGAGATGAAAGCCACGAAAAAGCGGCAAATCTTCAGAAGCAGGAAAATCTGTGTGAGGTAAAAAGTACACACCCATGTAATATAGGCCTCTTAAATAAGCACTTTATACTCTTTAAAGCTCTTCGCTCCCGCGAAGCTTTCGTCGCTTCTTCAAGGCTTTTCTCGAAACGAAGAAAATTGCGCCGTTTGAAAAAAATAAATAAATAAATAAAATGCTTTCGCATTGCGCGTTCTCGCGAAAGTGGGAAGATAACACTTTGTCATGCGAGCTCTCTCTCTCTTTCTCTCTCGTTTGTGGAGCAAAAGCCGCGCCGCAATCCGCATCTCGCGACGATATCACTAAACTCGCATGAACTCGTCGATCGAACTTTTTAAACACCCTGTAATTGTTGTGATAATTTTGACTTCGTTTTATAGATATAGTTAGGTGCGCGGGTGTGTGCAGCGTTTTTTTGAAGATTAGCGACGGTCGCGGTGACCCCGACAAAAAGACACGTGACAATTTTTAACGCACAATAAAAGACACAAAGAAGATTATTATCGTTCAGCCATAATCGCGAGAAATTAGTTTGTATTTGTTTTTTTAAATAATGGGATATAATATCAAATAGAGCTTCTAATTAAATACACATATTTCGCTTTGGTGATACAATTATAAATGTATAATCAACTCAGTTCTAATTTCTTGCAGGTACTTATTTTAATTGCGATACCTTAATTGCGCGAACAAGATTGGATTTTCGTTAGCCAAACATAGCCGTGACTTATAATACTATATATATACGCTAAGTATTTTCAGAGAATTATATCACAAGCGCGCGAGCAATTTAATTTAAATTATTGTAAAATTTAAATAATTGTTTATAAAATGTTTTCACAGTAGCGCGAGAGAAGATAATTATTATCAAGCGTCTCGTCACAAAAAAAAGCTCTCGTCATAAAAAAAAAAAAAAAACTAAACAAGGTATTCAAGTCCATCTCTGAAAACGCATCGAGAACTACGATTACCGTCGACGCTCTCTGACAAAAGAAATCGCACCCTCCCTCGATCCTGAACGGCGAATTCCAGAACAGCCTGTATAACGACCTGTATACCGGTCCATCGACACGTCCATCGGTACGCATCGAGTCGAGTCACGGAGAGATTCGTGAGTAAAACTGACCGACCTGCTTTTTTTTTTTTTTTTTTTTTTTCAATTCTCTTATTCTCCAAAACACGTACGATCTACCTTCCCGTCTCCCCGCAAATCGACGTCCGTCGACGCAATAGTCATCGGATGATTGATATTCGAAGGAATACCGTACAGAATACCGTTTAAAAACATCTACTTACACCTTTAAATATTATTCAATGTACAGCTGCACATAATGATAATAGTGGTTGCGCGTATTTTTTACGGATTATAAATACCGATCGTTTTAACACACGGTAAGCACACGACTATCACCGAATTATTTCCCCTCCCTCCTCGAATTCTTCCACCCTCCCTCGAACACGATCTCACACGCTTCATTTATTCATTAATTTTTTCTATGCGTGCGTGAAATCGTGTCGCGAAACAATTAACTTAGTTACTTCGCCCCTTACAACGATACTTTTTTTTTTTTTTTTGGTTTTTTGTTTTCTTTTTTTCTTTTTTTCGCTGAGTCGAAGGAACACTTATTCATACATATCCTAAGATTCTGACGCGCATTTTTCTTCCTATTATTGGCACGTGCCGCGCGGTTTTTTTCTATCTCATCCCGCGTTGCCCGCCGCGCATTTTTTCTATTTTATTAATTAATTTATTTATTTATTTATTTCTTG